TTTAATGTCAACCATTTGTGCAGATGGCATTAAGTAGAACAGATCGCCGATGCTAATGTAGCGTTAGCGTTAGCATTTCTCCCCCGGGCTTAAATGGTGTATTATAGAATGATCACACCGGTGTGACAGTACTCTTCAAAGGGTTCACGAAATATGACTACTACTCTTACTGTTTAACATTTTGGATTACTTCATGTTACTTCATGTTAAGGCTAATAAAAATGACAAGGCTAAGACTGTAATGCTAACTAACGTGCTTGCTACTAGCTAGGTAGCTAACTTGATCCAGCCAGCCACTCCTGGTCCTTTCATCAGACGGGAAGCGAAAGAACGAGCAAGACCCATTGCTGGTATGACAACAACCCGGTGCTAAGCACACAGGCATCTTGTTAAAGTTATCTTATCTTAGCTAATAGCTATCTACTATATTTAGCGGAGGAAAACAATTGTGACATCAGTTATGACATCACTTACGCGACTCTGGGATTTGTAGTCTTTCTAGTTGCATATTTTTGATAGTCTTATATTTCAACTGTTTTACCACAAACTGTGACTTTTTTGACATGGAAAGGATTTTTTAAGATTGACAAACATATGTGTAATTCGTGGGACCATTCATATGGGATCGAAATATAAGTTTTCTCTCTCCATTGACTTCAATACATAATTTTTCCAGAATAAGGTCCCATGGACCGGAAGTAGATGGGCGTGACTTCGCCACTCTATAGGCATAGGGTCGCATGAAATATCAAAGCTGTCACCGTTGTCCTGCAAAATATCATTTAAAAAAGGACATTTATAACTGTATATGATTGTTATAATGATTGGTGCATACATTGGTACGTCCTATTGTTTCTTTTGGTTGGATTTTGTAAACATGTTAAAGGGTGTTTAATCTTTATTTTTAGACATGGCATGCCACCAAAATGCCTTTTTTATATAAATGTTGCTGAAAGATCTTTGAAACCTAAACACAAAAACCTTCAGGGAATCATTCACATTACTCATAACTGTGAACAAGGTGTTCCATGTTATGAAACAGGATGTGACTGGTTGAAAAGTTGAGAAAGGGATTCCTATTGGATTAAAACAGGTTCATTCATTTACTCTGAGGTGTTTACTGTGTAACCCAATGGGCTGCCATGGAGACCACATGCTCTGGCAAGTGGAGATGGCTCTGAGCCAAAGACCAGGGGCCTCCGCAGGAAACGGTGAAACAGAGCAAAAATATATGCACATGTTTTATCGTTCTTACAAGGAAGATACATCAAAGTGTACGCTTGCTCACTATCACATAACAACAATCCACTCATCCATTTATATATTTACCTTCACTATAAGTTTAGATGAAAGAGCATTTCCTTTAGGGGTGCAGATGGTGGGATACTCTTACTGGCTCCACTAATTAAACCTAATTAATTGGTACTGGACAGTTTGTTCTAATCCCCTCAGGGTTTTCTGCAATATTGGTATAAACACAATACAGAAAGCTATTAAAGCTTTTCATGGACTCAGTCACATCTAATATACATTTTATCTCACATGTCAGAGATTAAGCAGCCATGATACATGACTTTTTTTCCATTTCATTTCATTATATTAGGCAGCAGTATCACTCATCATAACCTACAGTTTGGTAGATTTGCATTAATGGTCTGTCATTTTTTCAGGTGTTTTTACATTTTGTATTATTTGGGCAATAATTAAACACTTGTTTAAATGCATTGCATAAACAAAACAAACAACAACACTGAAAAATAAAGCACAATCTTTATATTAACATGAGGTATTTGTAGTATGGTTCATTTTATTAAAAAGTTATATTATAGTTTTCTCCTGTGCTTTCTCCTTTGTCTTGTTTTGTCCGGACTGTAAAACATTTATGATCAATTGTTGCGTGAAAACAGCCGTATAAATATAGATTGTATTGTTAAAACATTTAGTAGAAAAAAACATAAAAAGTATCCACACGGCTTTTAGCTCACAAACATGTTCCTTTTAAAAAACAAATATATAACAATGTCCAAGCCTATTGTCTTGTCTGACATTCATTTTGCATATTTTATAATTATCTCCTGAAACCCATCTATAGTGTGATGTCTGCTTGGGTTGATGCAGCAGATGGTATGCCTATGAGTGACAGTAAATCCTATATGATCCCATATGTTTCCAGCTTCTGCAGCTCATCTTTACAGTACAAGACAATCATAAATGAGCATGTTGTTAGTGGGGGTTGGTGCTTCTCAGTGAATGTTTTTCCCAAAAATATACTTAGATGTTGCTGATCCATCTGGGCCCTTTCATGCAGATCAGACTTTAGACATTATGAAAAGGAGTTGCTCCCCCCACATCACAGTCCCATAACCTTTCTGCCTCACCGCACCACTTAATAAGATTCCTCGTGTAAACATTATCCTCCTATTGTTAAGCATTACCTGTGCCTCAAATATGAACTGCATTGATTCACATGTATTTAAAATGTCCCTTCAGGTACATAATACCAGTATATTATGCACATAAGAGATGAAAAATGTGAAAATATTGCAAGGTGGGACATGCATTTACTTTGCCAGCCAGTAGCTGTCATATCTCCTCTCGTTCTTTCACACACTTTCTTCTTCTCTCACTTCTTTTCATCTTACTCTCTCTCTTTTGAATCCCCAGCAGTCTGGCTATTATTCTGTGTTTGTTTAGTGTTTCTGCAAGGATGACAGATATCTGTGGTGTAAGGCTTTGGATGGATGGTGACATGAAACACCGGATGTCTTCCTTTCTAACTGTGGAACATTTCATAATTGAGACGTTGAACAGCGGTGTAGAAACTGTTATAGAGAAGCCAAGGTGATTTCTTAACCTTTTTTTTTCCTTTAACAAGTCTCCATTGTGGCTCAGTACGAAGTGAACCTTGGCTCCAAAACATTTAAACCAACCCATTTATTAGAAAAGTAAAGCACACATTTGATTTTCAATAAAAGTAAAATTGCAATATTTGACCTCTTTATGAGACTTGGAAAAAGCATAACCTTGTGAAGGGAATAACTTTGTAATTCAATGGAGCTCCTTCAGTTATCATTTCCCCCCTGACTTAGCAAAATGACAAAGGCCATGGATTTATTTTTCTGTTTTCCAATGACAGTGCTTGGACCATTTACACTGGCAGTTGCATCACATCCACATCTCACTGAAAATAGCTTTATGTGCCGTCTCCTGTGAAACGTTAGCCTCACATTAAGTAATTTCTCCTCGAGGAAAATGGTCATAATTTCACCCAACACAATAACCCCTTCCTCCAACAGTACAACCAAAGACGATTTGCTGAGCCATTAGGCCGCAGTAATGAAATAAACACCAGTGTGAGAAATGATTTCTATCACTCCTGTCCCCATAGAGTCTGATCTGTGTACAACAACAAACACATTTAAGCAGCTTCACATCCAATTAGACTCGACTCTCATTAGACGGACACTCTGTCAACGGTCTAGACATTTGGTCCATTCAACTCCATGACATTAATACTGAGGGCTGTCTTTCATATATGCACATTAACAAATAAAGAAACGTTAAAGGGTTATTTTTAGCGTCTTGAGCTTTGCCTTTATGGGTCAGATTTAATGAAACATCCAGAAGTCAGCTTTGACGTCAAAGATGAGTCATCCTTTTTTAAAATAACTTTCTATAATAAGGTTTTCACCTAAAATAGATCGATCAACACTTACATTAGATTCATTTGTGTATGTACAAATCCAACAAATAGTAAATATGTGTCTGCAAAATGTACTTACATCTTCAGGTCTGTGGATACACTCTTTGATAACGCTCAGCCTCTGTGTCATTCCGAGTGCTTCATCTCGCATCCTTAGTGGTAATTTTAGATTTGTTGTTGTTGTTTCTTCAGGCCTTACGGTACATAGACTCGACCATCTTTCATTGTTTGAGAAAGATCAAATAGGTATGCTATGTGATATTTCAACATCACATAGCAGGAAAAGTGGAATTACAATATTAAAAATGACTCCACTCTATTTGCTTCTTCCAGTATCATGATATTGTGCATTCCCACTCACAGGCTTAATGACTTTCTGGGACACTTACTGAGCCACCATTAATGTTATTAGTTAAACTCATGCTTTTCCTGTTATAACAAATCAAATTGTCTGCTGCGAAGGAGGCCTACTGAATTTGTAGTTAGTGCAACATTTCATACATATGCTAAAGAGGCAAAGTCAAATTAAAATATGATTCCCTAAACAAATTGCATGTAAGCCTATAGGGCATTTTCTTGTTCTTAAAGCTAGTATTCACCATTTTCATGTTCTTAAAGCTAGTATTCACTGACTCTGGGTACAATAAGTAGTGTCAAAGTCATAGTACTGTTCAATATGTAAGTATATGGACGGATAAGTAATAGGAAGTTCCTAACACAGAAATATGATCTCTCCATACATGGTTTGTCCGCTAGAGAGATTTTTTATAATTATCATGTATTTATTTAATTTTAATCGCTCAGTACTTGTCTTGGTCATAATTTTAATGTTTGTGTTTTTATATAAAAGAATATATTGGCTGAGAAATCTGATATCAGAATTGAAAAAATAACAAAAACAGTGAGAGGTCAGAACAAAAAAATATATATGTGTATGGTTTTTCTTTGGGTTAAAAAGTTGGATAGAGTGTGTTTTTTTTACTGTATGTAAGTTGAATATTTTCAAGGAAACAGACCATTGTATTCACTATACACTCCCCAGAATTTGGAAATGACAGCATATAGCATAATGATACCTGTAATTTTTGGCATGTTTGGTCCTCACTTTACCTTTTAATTATGTGTACTTTTATATACAGCAGACTATTCACGAAAGTAGTGATTACACCAAACCAGTGTTTCTAGTTTCTGAAATCATCCACTGTGCCTCTACCTGAGGCGCATCTATCCTCCCTCTTGCTGACGTCAGAGCTGCCAGTAGTTTGTCCCCGCTGCACGAGCCCGGACTGCTGGAGATAATCTGCGAGGAGGAGGAGCTGTCAAAGTTTCCCAGTGAAGGAAAAGTCTCTTAAGGATAAAAAACACCTAAAGATTTTTCAGTTTTGATAAAGCGGAATATCGCCTGTTGTTGGCATGGAATGACACCTTGTGACCGGGAGCTTCAGAAACACGATGGCAAGCCGTTTGGTGAAGTGGATCATTCTCACCTCTGTCTGCTTAGGCTGCTGTGCTCTGACGGAAAGGAAAGGTATGTCGGGGAGCCGTTACAACATTTACGTGGCTGGGTTGTAACGCTAAGCTTTCGTTTTTGTCTTAGCTTTCCATAAATCTCAGCGAAGTCTGCTCCAAAAGCCGCAGACAAACTTGATCCAGCGTGGTAGGAAAAGTTTCTGACCGTCTCGCTGTTCAGCCTGTGACCTGGTAAAAGTTACACGGAGACTCTAAAAAGTGTTCAGTGTCAACGTGGGATGGTTGTTATTGATTAGGAATCAGTCATAGTGGTTTCCAGGAAAGTTGTGTTTTTGTTGGCGAATTAGTGCAGAAGTGCGCAAATACGCATCCCGTGTGAAATAAAGAGATCCAATTGCGCAGAAATGTTCACCACAACCATGAAGATGATGCTCCAAGGAGGGGATGTGCAATATAAAAATATACTGGTGTACTTATTTCTTCCCTTTGTTTTCTCTTTTTTTGTAATATCTTTGATATCACGGTGAGCAGTGGAGTGTGAGCACTTTATGATGACTTTGGCCTACTTACGGGCAAAAATAGAATACAAATAGAACAATTCTGTCACCTTGAAAAACACACTAATAACTGATTCCTCCTCTAACTTTGTATTACATACACAACCTCCATATATGTTCTCATATGCTTTCCCCTCTGTAGCCTCATTGGTTCTCAAATGTGTTTTTAATTCCTACATTTTGAGCATGCTCTTAAATAACAAATCAAACTGGGGCATGTGCCCAGTTTGCATCTGGTCCTAGGAGGAAATTAGATCAAAATGTGAAGACAGCCACTGTACTGTGTCCTAGTTGCAAAGATGATATAAAGCAGAGAGAGTCTGGGCAGTGTGGAGTGAGGCTGCTGAAAGTATGAAAACAAGTGCTGAAGTAGCAGGAACAGGTTCTTGCTCCGCTTATATTAGTGCTCTATTTTGGCCTTGAAGTAAAGGTCATATAAATCTTATTATTTTGAATGACATGCCATTGTTTTGACTGCTACTCCAATGCTTTCTTCCTACACTGTCTTTTAGTAGCTTACGTTTCATTTGTGAAATGAACACCTCACTTTAGACCGTGGTGAGATTTGTCTGGAAAAATAATCCTGCCAGTGGTAAAATGAAATGTTAAAGTGAGATTCACGACCTAATTTAAGTAAATATATGTATATTCCAGATGTAGTTTGAGCCACTCAGACCCCATGAAGGCCAGATGTTAGTGGAGAAAGTGAGCAGAAGTATCACTTTACCCCCTAATGACTCTGACTTCCTATTCTCATGAATCATCATTGTCCACACTCATTGCACCGTTGTTCCTCCTTATACGCAGATAAGCTCAGAGTGTTTGTTGCCAGCAGCGCACATGCAAGTTGCATCTTTCCTGTCTGCTCCAACAAGTCACAGCCAGCGCTGGTTTTCAGACAACCATAACAAATCAAAATTGTTTGTGAGCCAAAAAGACAGAGTCCCTAAATATTTCTGGGCCTCTAAACAAACTAAACGGAGCACATTTCACGCTGCAGCAAGTCTCTCACAGTTAATAAGGATTTAAAATCTTTGTTAGACCTGAGAAGATCAGAAATGAGCAGCTGTGGTGATAGTTATGGTATGCAGTGCAATTTGGTTTAATTACTTTTCATTTTCATTTCCAGGAAAATGTGAGGTCCGCCATATGGTCTGACAGTTTTAGCTGTTGTTATTGTTGTTGTTTTTGTTTTTGGCCAAGGGCTAACACAGATGTTCTATGTGGCACACAGTGTATTCCTAGCACGCAGTGTCTATAATAGTCAAAACTTTATGGGAACAAGATGTCAAACTCCTTCTTACCTTCTTTATGCCAAATGCTTTGATATGTGGAGTTTTTCACATCTTGATAAACACAAGTGACACATGTCTTAATGTTTTTATTAATTAAAGAAAGAGCAGCTGGAGTCTTGCACAATGGGTTCATGTTGTTGTGCCATCCAGTTTGCAGTTGGCTTAGCCGTTAACTCAAAATTAAACCCAGTATGTCAGAGTTTCTTTGTGAGAAAGTCTCTTTTCAAAGGATAGACATTTAGAGATTAGCTTTTTTACCAAATGTCAATTATATTTTGAAAGAGCTTTTCTTACTTTTCTTACAGAACCTGGAAATTCAGATTTCATTTAGTCTCTGTCTATTTAACTGGGGGGCTGACCATATCTTTTTGAGATTTGTATGCATATCTGTTAAAACACAGTAATATTTGTTAATGAATAACTACTCGATGTGAAGAAATGTTGCCCTAATGGAGATAAGGCAACTTTTACTTTGAAAATCAGATATATTATTTTCCTGTATGGGAGTATAATAAAGGATTACTCATGCTGAATAAACCTGTCTGTGTGTCAGCTGTAAATCCACCTAGATTAAAAATATAAAGAATATGTTTCGTTTTCTTGAAATGTAAAGCAATTCAAATGGTACAGTAGATGAGGTGCCATAATATACCACTGCCTTTCGGTCTCCAAAATGTCAAATCTTAAGAAAGAAAAACAGAATTGCTCAAAGACTGAGATAATCTAAAATGGTATGAAAGATTTTTTTACTAAGCCTTAAGAAGAAGGATAATTTTCTCAGCCCACAAAGGAGTATGTAATCCATCGACTCATCCTAAAATCACCAAACTGGGAGATACATGGTTTTCAGGGATGGACGACTGTTGTCCTGGATCTTTATTAGAAGAGCCTGCTTGACTTAAGAAGTGTTTGTGTTGCTAGGAAGCCGAGAACATCTGGTCAGCTGTTTACACCGAGAAATGGCAAAAGATTGTCAAGTCTAGAAAAACTCAAAATGGATCATGAGTGAAAAAAACCAACCCTTGGTGCATTTTGTTCTGCAGATGTTCTCTTGTGTATTTTGAGTGAAATCTGTTGTTGTGTTATCATTGTAGACTGCATGTAAACAGTGTGAGGATGGAAAACTAGACAAGTGTCGCAAGAGTTACTATTGGGGAGGTTTTTGCAGTAATTTATGACAGTTGACTAAGTATTAAAAAGCAGCTGTATCCAATGATATCACAACATATATCAAAGATGCCCAAAGGTATTGAATGATAGATTTAAACGATTAAAATTGACAGATTGACCTAACGCAAGGTCACTTAGCCCACCCCTTTTTTCAGTTGTGGGTTAGGGGAGGACATTAAGGCCTTTTGGAAATTGAATTAGAGACTTGCTAATGCACCTGACAGTTGTTCCCACAGGAAGCGCACCTGACGGCCCTCTGGTCAGTGAACCTGTCATGGCCTTGTGGCTTCTGTGGGAGTCAGATAGGACCTGCTGAATAAAAGAAAAGCTGCTTGTCCCGCGCTCAGTTTATTAACTGTCATCATCTGTGGGGAGGTTGTAAATAATGCCCACGGTTTCACCCTTAGCCAACCACAAGTAATAACTGTGGTGATTTATTTCCCAGATGAAATGTTAAACGCTCTCGGAATCAATCAAACTCCCCCTGTTTGAGACTGTAGCTGTACTGAAGAGGGGATGATTACATTTTTTCACCTCCAATTTTTGTTCTACCTTTCAGTTTTGATTGTTTCTTTTCTAAGCTGCCAAAGTAGAGCCACAGATATGAGGTAAACCTGCCGAGAGCCGCTCTAACTGGGCTATGAGTGAACCTGTGAAAGATCAAACTAATCTCAGGGGCATGTTGACGGCTAAATCCTTAATCCTTAATGCGAGGCTCCCCGGATCGCTTTGGGTACAGGATAAACCTGATTAAATATCAATATGCCTTTTTCTGAGTTAATGGGTTATTCAAGTTCTCCACAAAATGAGATTGAAAGATAATACATGTAGGAAACGTGAAGTCCGGCTCCATCAGTTCTGCATTGAAATGTGCTTGCACACCTGCAAAAGTGGAGCTGAATCATGATAAAATATCACTCCTGCAGTGCATTTCAGCATCCTGAGTAAGTGCTTTCCCCTCTGTGTTGTGTAGGGATCTAACAAGCCAGCTTTTCTCATCAGTCATCAGTTCTTTTCCATCATTTTCCAGAAAACATACCTTTTCTTTTCATTACAGCCCACTCTCTGGGATTAGATGGATGTCTGTAGTTGTGAAATATATGTTATGATCCTGTGTAATCCTAGAACCTCTAGTCTGCGTTTCAGGGTCCTGAGTGGGCCTTACACTATACTTGCTGCTGCGTCTTTGTTTTATTCGTCTGATGACCTTCCCAGACTTCCCTCTGCTGCTCCCATTGTTGGAAGTATTGCTTTTCGGTGTCGACCATAGGAGCTGGAGGATCATTTCTTGTCTCCCTCACTCCTAGCTTTGATAAACTCCACCATGTCTGAGTAGTAGAGATTTAAGGGAACTTCTAGTGAGGCGTGGATTCTGGTTTCACTCTGGGACAATAGTGCCTCTGTACAGGCAGGTTATCTGGCAGAACTGATACTTTTGTAGAGCAGGTGAAATCTGTGCCATGCAGCAGACGCACCCGAGGCTAGACGTGCATGTCATTGAGAGGAAACAGAAGTGAAGCAGCTTTTGTTCTTCTTCTTACTTTTAACCGTAAAGACACATCTGAATACAGTAAATCTATTGTGTCGCATTAAAAACAAGCAGTTACTGCACCTGTGTAGGGATTAATTATTTGTCTGGTTTCACTATTGTTCAGTCTAAACAAACCACAGACAGTACCGTTTTATTCTAATGTCTGCTACTGTATGAATGTTTAATAAGTCAGGAAATGCTGCCTGCTACATCGCTGATTTTAATTATTGAAACATCTTCTTTGGCCTTATGTTAAAAGTAAACAGGGGTTATTATGTTATAGCCACAGCTTTTAAAATCCATTCTGTAGTTTGTATACATCCACTGAGAACCAGCATGGAATAAGTAAGTGAATGTGGTTACTCATTGAACAGATTTTGCGTCCTTTGTTTGTACACGGCAACAAAGAGATCCGCTGCATTTATGGCCTTTCCATGATCCACTGGCTGTGCATGGAATCGGCAGTGGAAAGAGACCCAGGAATTCACATTGGAAAAAAAAGCCT